GTTTTCTTGAGAGTCCATGTTATGTTCAAGACTCTTCTTGCACCACAACTCAAAGGCATCAATTCTTATTCTGTTATCCTTGGTCATTGTCCAGCTCTCTGATACACAGCAAGCAACTGTAAAGAGCATGCCCTGGGTTGGGTGTACCTTAGTCTCTAGACTGACATCATTGCTTTTCATTATTAGCATACCAATAATTACAAAGATCTATAAAGGCAGTGAAATATGTAAGGACAATGGCTCCTGAAGAAAAGTCAAAAGAGGTAAACTTGTCACTTGGGGCTGGTTTTCATTTAAGAGGAAGTACCAATCAAAAAATGGAAGCTGAGAAGAAACAGACTTTCCAAATGACTAAAGAGACAGACAGAGCAAGGAGATACATGTGGTTTGAAAACACGAATGTATGTGTTGCAGTTAAATCCTCTCACCCTACTTATTCAATCTTTATGCTGAACAATTAATATGAGAAACTGGCTCTAAGAATGTGGTATTCAGATGGCACACCTAGCTTGTTGAAAGCGAAGAGGAAATGAAATGCTTGCTGTAGATGACCAAAGGCTTCAATACTTATTGTATCTCAATGTCAAGAAAACAAAAATTCTCAAGAGAGCTCTGGTGGCCTAGTGACAAGAAGCTGCACTGCATTCCAAGAGGTATGTGGTTCAAATCCACCAGATGCTCTGCTGGAGAAGGAGGGGCAATCCCCTCCTATACCAGTCAGATCCGATTTGACGATACACACACACAAAATAATAAAATTAAAAAAAACAAAAAGCAAAACTTCTTACCCACCACTGGTCCGATGTGACATCATTATAAATGGAGAAAACATGTTGACTTCATCGTACTTGGATCCACAATTTATACCCATGGAAGCAGCAGTCACTAGAAATTGAATTGAACTGAAATATCAATTTAAAAAACAAAAATAAATTGAATTGTAGTGAATTAGGCAAATATACCATCAAGCACCTCTTAAAATACTCAAGATCAAGGATGTCAGATTAAAGACTGAGGTGCCCCTGACTGAAGCCATGGTATTTTCAATTGCTTCATATGCAGGTAAATGTTAGATTAAGACTGAAGAGTGGTTGACACCTGTGAGTTTTGTTGTTGAAGAATATTGAATATAGCATAGACTGCCAAAAGAATAAACACATTTGTCTTAGAAGTATAGCCAGAGCACTTAAAAGGATCATAGGATGTCATCTCACATCCTTAGGGCGTGTTGTCAGGAGGGGGCAGTCCTTGGAAAAGTGTAAGCAAAGGAGAGAAGGCTCTCGAAGAGCTGGTCAGTGCAGTGACTACAATGGACTTACTCACAGTGGAGATCATGAGAACTGGACAGGAGTTGGAAAGGATTCCAGCTGCTATTCACCACCTGTTGGGTTAGGTGGGGTGAATATGGGCAATCTTCTCCTGAGTGATTTACAGCCTCTGGAAACCAGCAGTAAGCTTGATTCATAGTTGTCACTGTTAGGTGCCCTCAAGGTGAGTATGACAGCGAACCTATGAACTACAGATTTGAACTCTGTCCTATCCTGTGCCGTCATCACTTCTGACACACTCGAGCTCACTGCAGCAGTCACTACGTCAATCCATCTGTTCGAGGGTCTTCCTCTCCTTTGCCATGCCTCCACCTTTCCAAACATGATGTCTCTTCTCCAAAGAACAGTGTCTCCTTAACAGAATGCCATAAATATGTGAAAGAAGCTGTGTCATCTTTGCCTCCAAGATGCCCTCTGGCTGCACTTTCTCCAAGGCATATTTGTTCTTTGGCAGTCCATGGGATATTAAGCACTCTTTTCCAACAATATAACTAAAAAGCATCAATTCTTGTGTTATCCTCATTCGCTGTCCAGCTTTCAGATGCATACCAAGAGATTGAAAAGATCACGGCATGAACCAGGAGTCCTCAAACGGACATCACTGCTCCTCAGTAATTGGGAGAGGTCCTTGATTGCAGACTTTCCCAGTGAAATATGTTTCCTGATCTCCTGACTACTGGTACGAAAGATGTTGACTGGATCCAAAACGAAGTTGCTGGCAGTTTCAATCTTTTCTCCATCTATCATGATGTTGCCTATCAGCCCAGTGGTAAGAAATTTTTTTTTATGTTGAAATGCAATCCATATTGAAGACTGTCTTCTTTGATCTTCTGCAGCAAGTGCTTCAAGTCCTTTTCCCTTTCAGCAAGCAAAGTTCTAGCATCTTTATTACACAAGTTGTTGATGTGTCTTCCTCCAATTCTGATGCCACATTCTTCTTCGGAGTCCAGTTTCTTGACTGATTTGCTCAGCATACATTTTTCCTTTGGAAAAAGGATACAATCCTGACACGCACCTTTCCTGATTTTAAATCACGTGTTCCTTGTCTCTGTTTGAACAACAGCCTCTTGGTCTAGGTATAGATTTCACATGAGCACAATTAAGTGTTCTGGGATCCCTATTCTTCTCAGTCTTAGCTATACTTGGTTATGATCCACACAAATGCCTTTGCATAGTAATAAAACCTAAACAAAACATAAACAGATGTTCTTCTGGTATTCTGTTTTCAGCTAGGAGATATCCCCGATATGGAGATAGCCATGATATCCCTGGTGCCACAGCCTCTTCTAAGCCTGAACTACTGGCAGTTTTGTCACTGTACTTTTTCTTTTTTTCAGGGGACGGTGTGAAGGCGAATTACATAGTTGAGTTTCCCACATTTTTGGGAAATCGCTGGGGTCAGCACACCCAGAGTGTTATGTATAAGCTTCGCCCTGGGAAAACCACCTTTGCTATCTCCCCTGCTCTTAAGTATTGTCACTGTACTCTAGACTCTTTTGGATGATTTCAGCTATAGGGTCACTATCAATTGGGATCTTAGTGCCATGAAGGAAGAACCAGCAGGAGTGAAGCATATCCTTTTCTATGTGGACCTCTGCAAGAGGAAGCCCCCCAGCACCTGGCACTGGACAGGGCCAAGACACATGGACATCTTCAAGGAATTCCAGTTATTCCCCTAGAGCTGGCATGCCAAATTTGGAATTCTAGTCCCCTAATAGGTTTGAACCGCCTACCTTTTGATCAGCAGCTGAGGACTTTAACCACTGCATCTCCACGGTCCTTAAGATTAGTCTAAAACCTATTTCATTTTGGTGAGGCAGCAATAAATTCAATTACAAGGTTCCCTTTTGTCCATAAGGGAGGCCTGGTGGCTTAGTGGTAAGCAATTGTGCTGCCAACCCTAAGTCCACAGTGTAAATCTACCAGCTGCTCCATGGAAGAAAGACGGACAATCTCCCTCCATGAGACTTCACCGCCCCTGAACCCCTGGAGGGTCTGCTATGTCTCAGGTCCAACTTAACGGTACACAAAAGAGATGTTTTTCCATATAAAATTTTATTTTTGTTCTTATTTATAAACTTCATGACAAAAAAATGACCCATCTATACATAAAGGTACTAAAGTTGTTTTATTCATCCCACCACATTCCGTATACATTATGTTTACAGAAAAAAATAACAATAGCAAAATATTAATGTTTGAATACAGCATCTAGGCATAATACACTAATATTTATGCCTTCTAAAACTACCCGATAATGATATATAAGGAAACTTGTTACAAGTCATAATGCTTCTATAATCTGTCAGAAAAAGGATTACATTAACATCCCTTTTATGTTTTGATTAAAAAAAAAATGTATCCTCTGAGCTATCCTGGGGAAAAAAAAAGTAATGTTCCTGTTTCCCTGTCTTTAAGGAATTATTAATATGCTTAATTTCTAAATGGCTCCTTAAAAATTTTAATCACTTTCAAAAACCATTAAGTTAGTAAGCTAGTTAGATTTTATTTTTAGTCAATACTTTTAGTTCAGAAGTAAACTTGAACATGAGCAGTGTATGTAGGTACATAGTTTAAGTCTTTGGGATGAAGGAGGAAACCAGGTGCTATCCTAATCTCACAACCACGAAGCTGCAGATCAAAGCAGCACATGTGTACCTACCACTGTAAAAGAGGTGAAAAGTCTTTAGATACTTAGCTCTTCTAAATAATTTTATGGTAAGGCCACTAACACAAAAATAGTACACATAGACACAAAGAATAAGAGAAAGTTAATGGCAGAGACTACAGACTAAATAACCCGGACATCGCATCTGGAAGAAAAAAATAAGGCCATAACACTGGAATATTTTCTAGAAAGTTTCTCTGCTTATAAACAGAATCATGTTGACCAATAATTTGCATGTTATTAAATTATGGGAAAATCAACAAAACGGCAGCTCTGGTGAAGTCTTAAAAGCCCTTTAAAGTTTTTCATCAGTAAGTTAATTTCATAACAACCACCAAGAAAATTTCAAATAGGAGTAGAGATGTGTCAGTGTACAACACACTATTATATAAGCAATAGATATAATTTAATCTGTGCACTTAAAAACTCCAGAAATGACCCTGTCTAATGTACAAGTAATAAATAATAGCCATACTTGACTTGGGTTAACAAAACAATTACTAACTGATCCTGTGCTTCATTTTTAAATTGCCTAAGATTACCAATTTCCATTTTAAAATTACTTTCTCCATAAAAATAGAAGACATATCAAACTCTTCAATCTTCAAAGAATTCAAAAAAATTTGTAAGGCAATTTTTCAAACACAAAATATATCTTTTTTTTAAAAAAAAGGTGATTAAAAAGCAAATATATCAAATCTTTTATGCATACTTTTCTTCTTATGAAAAAGAGCACTTGGTATACAGCTAAAGCTTTCAGAAAATACTCTGTTGACTTCCATTTTAGGCAGAAGACAAGCTGTGCATTGTTTTTAATATAAAAATATATTTTTCAACAGAGTAGATGGAATAGTAATTTGTGGAAAAAGCTCATCATCACCCTTTTACATGAAAACAAAATTATTCAGAGGCCATAAAAGTTGATAAAAAAATACTGGTTTTATGAAGTTTTGTGTGGCGCGAAATTTCCCAAATTGCAAAGTAGGAAGCTCCGCACTGATCGTTCAATAGTGAGCACGCAGTCTTCTGTTTTCTTCCCGTAGCCTTTCAATTTCAGCCACGAGCTCATTCACTGAGTATCTTTCCAGCAAAGAATGCATTTCATTCTAGAAAAGGGAAGGAAACTATTTGTTAAATTACTGATATTTATCTGTCAAGCTATGTTGTGTACCCACTCCTCAGCTATCAAACATTATCTGACACTTCACATTTTTTACAACAGTAAAAAATTGACTATGAAAATCTTCTGTGCATTAACAAGCCACCAGGTATGGCAGCTGAGAGTTGCAGTGATCCTTGAAGGAGGGCCTCTGGATGGCTCTGCACCCTGTTAGGGCCCTGTGTCTGGCTGCCACACAAGGCCAGCCTCCTCAGTGGCCATAACCTCTCTCACACACAGGCAGCACCAAGCTGGAGGGCATTTGCTTTGGGTTGTTGGTTCCTATGAAGCCTGAGGCCCTTCTGCTCAAAACTCCTGCGAGGTAGGAAAGGAGAAAAGAAGACAGTACAAGATAGGATGTGTGAAAGTAATGTGGATGAGTTTCAGGACATCCCAAAATGAGCCAAAATGGGCCTGCAGCCCTTGCGTTGGTGAGGCTATGTGCACAGATAGGTTCAAAGAACGCTCAAAGGAACCCCCAAGCCTCTGGGACTTGCAGGCCCTGAACACAGAGCTTACGGGGGGTGGAAGCAGAGCCCCAGCTGAGCTCAGCAACCAAAGCTCTGAGCAAGCACAAGACGGGGAAGGGATCAAACTGCGAGTCAGTCTGATTTTATCCAGTTTTCTCTCTTCCAAGCCACGTTCTCAAAAGAATAATTCCTATCTGGAGTCATCATAACAATGAGCACATCAGTAAATCTTTTCTGTTTCTATTTTTATGATCCTTTTTTTAACATTAAAACAAAATGGTGTGAATGTGGTCAATAGTACCTTTTGGGTATAAATAAGTTGTGTGGACAACTAATGATGGGATTGGTCGGCCTTGCCATCGTCCAGCCTTAAATTGAGCATAGCAGCAGAAGATGGGAAACTCGTTAACAGCAAGAAAGAATCATGGAGATTGTGTGCATTCATATGGACCAGAGATTCCTGTGCACCTCGGCCAAGGACCAGATGAGACCAGCAGCAGTGAAGACCCAGAGCTCAGTGAGAGCCAGAGCTAACTGAGGGACCGGGCCCAGGGCCTTTGCCCAACCTTGTTGGAGACCAGAGGGTACGGGGTGGGGTGAGGGGGCGGAGGAAATAACATATATGACAAGAATAAGAGTGTTCTGTAGGGAGTTCTGATAGCCTAGTGGTACGAAGTTGTGGCGTCAACCTTAAGACACACAGTTCAAATTCACCAGCTGCTCCACAGGAGAAAGCTGGGCAATCACCTCCTGTAGGATTTAAAGCCTCTGAAAGTCTGCTGGAGGCCCGTCAGTTCTGACTCAACAATACACCAACAAGAACTTTTAAAACCCTGACCTGAAGTCATGAGGCTGAAGATCAAAGGGCCTGCAAGTATGCTTGAGGAACTGTCTGCATTGAGGAACTGTGTCCTGCTTCTAATCTGAATTGTAACCTATTAATTTCCCTACTGAAACGAACAACCTGGCGTATGGTTCTGTGAGTCCTGTGTGGTCACTGGAATGGATTAGCAGACTCAGCAACAGAGCAGCGAGAGACCTGGGAGAGAGAGGTCGTGTCAGAATGGCTAGAAGTAAGTTCCGAGAGCCTGTGAGCCTGTGGAGCAATTCTGACCACCCAGGAATCTGTTCTGTGTTGTGGATGTTTGTAGAAGGGGGTGGATTCAGTGGGAGTCCGACGTAGCTATCTTCACAATGCAGTACTCGTTTTACAGTGAGCAATTAGCATCTTACTGATTACATTTCTATAACTCTACTATTTATTTAGCTTGACACAAGTAGATATAACTAAGTATAAAAAATGCATTGCCTTTCCACACATCCTTCTCGGTACTCAATATACAATGTCATACATACCAACTGCATATGGAACTGTTTAATCATCTCCACCTGCAAATTCACGATGTCCCGGTGACATGCTTCTCTAGGAAAGAATGTAAAACATTGTTAAAATTGCAATTGTTTAGCACATCCAAGGTAATTTAATAAAATGGCTAAATACTTTTCACGGTCTCAAAATTGCTGGATGTTAAATTATTAATACATGGTAAAACTTAACACCTGAGATTTACCATGTTCTAGGCACTGCCTTTGAATATTTTAAATGTAGGAACTCTATTAATCTTCATTACAATTGTTGTTGTGTGCCATGGAGTCCACTATGACTCAAAGAGACCTTATAAGCAATAGCTCTGAACCTTGTCCTATCCTGAGCCAACTTCACTGCCTTGGACACGCTTGCTTTGCCAGTCACTATGTCAATCCTCCTCACCCAGCATCTTCCTCTCTTGTGTTGACTAGGTGCAATTATCTATTTTACCAAATGAACTAAAGATTATTTTAATTTGCTCAAAAGGGCACAGCCAGTAATGGTGGAACCAGGATATAAACCCAAGCTGTTAAACCTTCAGAATTTACACTAATACTCCCTTACACAAAAATTACCATTAAAGACAGGCTTATAGTGAGTTACCAAGAACATCTGTGTGTGTGATTGTTGTTATGTGCCATCTAGTTGACTATGACTTACAGCAATCCTATGCATAGTAGTTCTGAACCCTGCACAGTCCTGAGCCAGTCTCACTAATTCTGACACACCTACCCCCCATTACCATGTCAATCCATCTCATCTGGGGTCTTTCTTTCCTACGCTGTCCCTCCAGCCTTCCAAGCAAAGAAGTCCTTCTCCAAGCAACATGCCCAAATTATGTGAGATGGAGCTTCAAAATTCTTGCCTCCAAGGAGCAACTTGATATCACCCTTTCCAAGACAGACCTTGGCAGTCTATGGTATATTCAGGGCTCTTCCAGCACAACTCAGAGGCATCAATTCTTCTGTTATCTTTGGTGGTCACTGTCCAGCTCTTTGATGCCTAACAAGTAATTGCTCAGTCCATGGTCTGGATCAGGCACACCATAGCCTCCAGACTGAAATCGTTGTTCTTTAGCACTCTGGAGAGATCTCTGATAAATTTTTGTAATACAATTTGTCTTTTGATGTCCTGACTACTGATGCCAAGAGTGTTGATTCTCGAACCTAGCAAGCGAAAACTTAAAAATCTCAATCTCTTCTCATCTTTTATGGTGCTGCCAATTGGCCCAATTTTGAGAATCTTCGTTTTCTTGATGTTGAGCTTCAATCCATACTGCAGTCTATAGTCATTGACCCTCTGCAGCAAATGCTTCAGTCCTCCTCAGTTTCAGCAAGCAAGGCTGGGTTATCTGCATAAACAATTGGTGATTAGTCTTCCTCCAGTCCTGATGCTACATTCTTCTCATAAAGTCAAAGTTCCTGATTGATGTGTTCTGCATATGAAAAGGTATGGAGATAGGACACATCCCTGATGTACTCCTTTCCTGATCTGGAACCATGCAGGGTTTCCTTGCTTTGTTCTGGGGACTGCCTTCTGGTCCAAGCATAGGTTTCACATGAGCACAATCAGGTGTTCTGGGATTCCCATTCTCAAAATTAGCCACCATTTGTTGTGATCCACACAGTCAAGTGCCTTTCAATAGTCAACGAATGAAACACAGACAGACATTCCTCTGGTACTCTCTGCTTTCAGCCAAGATCCACCTGACATTTGTGATGATATCTCTAGTGCCACAGCCTCTTCTAAACCCAGCTTGTATTTCTGACAGTTCTTTGTCAATGTACTGTTCTAGTAATTTTTGGATAATCTTCAGAAGGTTTTTGCTTGAGAATGATATTAGTGATATTGCTTGAATCCATATTCATATATGTCTTTTCCACTTTGAAGTTCTTTTACATCTATTACACCACACAGTATGCCATTTTAAACAGACATAACTCTCTGATAAAGCAAAGACAAAAACATTCCTTTTTTATAAACAAGATATACTATCACTTATTGTTTTCAAACACTACTGCACATTTAATTGCATAATGTGACAACAAATTCATGAAGCAATTTGCAGACAACAACGGCTTTGACAAAGAATGTGTAGAATAGATGTTGGCTCTCCTTAATAAATAAATAAAATTTAAAAAACTAGGGGCAAACTTTATAAATGTAGACCGCCTTCTCAGTGGTAGTGGTAAGGGCTGCAGGGTGTTAGGTGTTCCTCACGCTGTGCAATGGGAACTACCAATGGTGTGGTGGAACTTGTGGCCCATCCCAAGGCCATGACTCTTGAGTTCATCAGAGGTCATCCCATACATCTCCAAATGTTGAAGGACCAGCTTCGTGATCCATTGGGTATCGGGATTCCTCCTGACTGCTTTATGGAATAGATCAACGAGGATAATCTCAAAGAACTTGTAAGCAATCTTCCCCTACTCAGTAAGAGGACCATTAGGGCCCCACAGTAGCAGACAGCTCACTCCTCAGCTATGGACTGAAGGCTCTGTCAAACTTCAGCTGCTTAACACCAAAGTGGACAGGCTTCCATAGGTTGCTTCCTTTGGGATGAGGTGTTTCTGGCCACCCCTGTAAACTCAAATTCTGCAGATGACATAAAGTTGCTTGGTCTTGTAGACCAGCCTGCACACCTTGTCCAGCTGCATGGGGTGTGAGGTCAGTGCGGAGACGAGAGCCGGCTGTACAGCTGGCAGTGCACCCATCCACAGGAGAAAGTGCATCACATCCGAGTGCTTCTGCCACAGCTTCTGTATGGACTTACAGGTGCCCATCTTGGCTCACCCTGATGGCTGACACTGGATGAAAAGCTCCATATATATCCTGATACAGAGAAAGTGTGCTCAAGTGTAGTGGTTAAAGCATTTAGGCTGTTTTAACACTCTAGGCTGCTCTGTGAAAGAGAGATGAAGCATTCACAAAACCAACTTGATGCCAATGAGTGTCAATAGTAGCAGCAGCAGTAGTGGTGTGAGTATGTTTATATATGGTCATTCAGGAGTAAGATGGGCATTCTCCTCCTGTGTGATTTACAGCTTCACTAACCCACTGGACGGGCAGAAGTGGATCTAACAGTGGGTTTCTGAGGTTGTACACTGCCTAGAAAGAGCCTGCTTGTCCTCTTCCCATGGAATGGCTGGTGGATTCAAACTACCAGAGAGGTATGGCCTTCGGCTTAGCAGTGTTAACTCTCCACGTGCTAAATCATTAAAGTTTTACACACACACACACACACACACACACACACACCCCAAACAAACAAAAACAAAAACACAGACAGAGGAAGAAGCCCGGTAGGCATAGTAGATGAATCTTTTGAGCTGCTATTGAGAAATACGGCATACAGAATCTCTGAACATAGAGGTTCAATCCACCAGCCACCTCAAAGGAAAAAGATGAATCTGTTCTTGTTAAGATTTATAACCTTAGAAATCCAAAGGCGGGTTTCCTAGTGTCAGAATCAAGCCAGTTTTTGGATAACATATAGGAAATGGTTTCATCAATAAGAGGAAATAATCCACATTTAAAATGATACTGGCATACCACTGAGGTACTGCAGCTTCAGTTCCTTACTATTCAAAGAAGGAGACTTTCACAATAAAGCCAGTACCGTCCAGTTTTCTGTTTACCAGTGCCTATAAAGGGTTATGTTTGCACTATATTAAGTGTGAGAAAGCATTAAGAAAACATTTGAAACCACCATCAGAACTACCAAACGGACAGAGACAGGAGATGAGCAACGTGCTGCTGGAAAAAATGGCACCGACAGATCTGCTCAGAAGGGTTACTACACACATTCAATGTGTGTAAAATAAACCCCACCAAAACAACTGCGACACATGCAAAGCACAATAAACTGAGATGTCTACACATGAAAATGACGAAGTCTAATAGTACAAGGAACTCAAACACTCATTATGCAACTTAGGCTCTAGAATATTAAAAAATCAGGTGTGACTCTATCACAACTCCTAGAGGTAAGGATAACAAGTCAACAATCTCCTGAATTTTGTTTCATAAAGAAATGTCTTTTTAAAAATATAGCAATATAAGGGAGCTCTGGTGGCCTAGTGGCAAGAAGCTGTGCTGCAATCCTAAAGGCACCAGTTCAATTCCAACAGATGCTCCTCTGGAGAAGGGGTAATCTACTCCTGTGCCTACCGGATCCGACTGGACGGTACACCAAAAAGAAAAAAAGCAATATACAATCTGTAGTCAATATATTTTAGCTATGCCTGCTTTTAAGTATTGCAAAAAAAGGTACAATGCCTTATGCAGTTTAAATAGCTTTCATTTTTTTTTTAAATAAAAATTCAACTTTGGGGGAGCTCTGGTGGCCTAGTGGCAAGAAGCTGCACTAAAATCCCAGCGGTACATGGTTCGAATCCACCAGATGCTCTGCCAGAGAAGGAGGGACAATATCCTCCTGTACTAGTCAGATCTGATTTGATGGTACATGTACACAAAATAACAAAATAAATTGTTTGGGGAAAAAAAGTTCAACTTTATGATTTAAAGATTCATGTTTTATGTAGCTTGTAAATCCTGATTTGCACTTTTAAAACATTATACATCAAGAAAACAAAGATTCTCACTACTTGGCTGGTTGGCAGTATAATGATAGATGGTGAAGAGATTGAGATTGTTAACAGCTTCAGTTTACTTGGCTCCACAATCAACACTCTCAGCACCAACAGCCAGGAAATGAAAAGACCAATTGCAGTGGGAAAGTCTGCTGTCAGAGACCTCTCCAGAGTACTGAACTGCAACGATGTCAATCTAGAGACTAAGGTGTGCCTGATCCAGGCCATGGTCTTTGCAATTACTTGCTATGCATCAGAAAGCTGGACAATGAGTAAGGATTATAGAAGAAGAACTGATGCCCTTGAGTTGTTGTGCTGGAGAAGAGTATTGAATATAATATGGACTGTTAGGCGAACACCTCTCCTTCCTGGAGTGAAACCAGGCTGCTCTGTGGAGGCAAGGATTCTGAAGCTCCTTCTCACATACTTTGGGCATGTTTCAAGGAGGGATCAGTTCTTGGG